ATCCATCCATCCATCCATCCATCCATCCATCCATCCATCCATCCATCATAGGGGCAGCAGCTGGAGCAGGGAGGCCCTATCTGTTTCCCTAGTCATCTCCTTCAGCTCTTCTGGGAGGACTCCAAGGTGTTCCCAGTCCTGGATCTTCCCCAGAGTATCCTCCCAGTTGGACATGCCAGGAAAACCGCCCTAGGGAGGTGTTCAAAGACATCCTTACCAGATGCCTGAACCACCTCAACTGGCTCTTCTTGATGTGGAGGATTAACAGCTCCAGCCCAAGTCTCTCTAGGATAACTGAACTTCTCACCCTGTTTTTAAACGAGAGCTCAGCTACCCTGTGGAGAAAACACATTTCAACTGCCTGCATTCACCATCTCTTGCCTTGTGGCTTTTTTTTTAAGAAAAAGATGTCACAATATTGATGATACATTTTTAATTAGTTGGTATATGTCTACTCTGAGTACCCTGCTTTAGTAGTAACTATAGCAGACAGTGTATTAATCTAGTACTAAAAAAACAATACAACTTTATATATAGTACTTATTTTGACAATTATAACGATTAATGGAAAAACATTATTTCTTGGCAAATTTTTTTCTTCTTCTTCAGAAATTCACAATCTGTTGCCATACTGCAGTGACCAAGGTTGTCATGTAGCACCTACCAAGATGGAGGCTCAAATTTTTCCCTTTTAGCATAGACTTTGATATAGTTGGCCTTTCCAGTATATTTCTATATATAAGTATATTTCAGTGGGGAGAATGTGTTGTAAAATGAAGACATAATAAAATTGTTTAATCTGAGAAATATTTCTGGTGAAATGAAGCTTGATTTTACCGATCAGTCATGGCCACTTGTTCAAGCATAGCAGAGCCTGTGTTGGTCTTCCAGTTACCAGATATAGACGTTCTCCTAATGAATATAAAATACTTTTTCAGTTCATAGTTGGTTATAACGCTTAGTAATGTCAGTATAATTACACATACATGTAGGCTTTGTAGTCAGTGCCGATCTTCTGGATTCTGATATCGTACTTAGAGTCAATAAGAGGCTCTGTGGTGGTGTAAGTCTGGGTAAGGGCCACAACACTGGCTATGTCCTGGAACTTACTGTGATTGTCCACTTTCACCTGTACACACACAAGTCACACAAAACAAAATAAAAAATACAAAGAAAGGGCAACTAGTAGCATTTATTGATGTAGACATATGCTTGTTTATAGTGTCTATCTTACATTAAACTGGCAGTACATGTAGATATCACTGTACAGTAACTATTGTTAAGATTAGCTGCAGATCTAACTTAATCAAGAAACATGACTGTACCTTGCCTATTCCGGAGTGGGCATGTCCAATCTTCACAACAACAGGGAACGATGGCATGCTTACCTAAATGATAAAACTGTTGTGTTATTACAGCATCTTGCATTTCATGGCTCTATTTTACATACAAAAACTTGCAGTTTTTTTTTTCGTTGTTAAAAAAAGAGATGATGGGGTCCTCACCATCTCCTTGTAGTTTGGATAAAAGGTCTGTTCAATGAGAGGGAACTTGTCAGCACCCAGTTTCCTGCACGTGTTGATAAGCTGAGCAAACTACGCAAACACAAGAGGAAACACTTTGGACATCCTTTGGAAATAATATCCGAACAAATGACAAGAGCCTGATGAATGAAAACAAGCTAGAAAGCCTCCTAAATTAATTATTATTATTTATCTGCTAAGAGCTCTTTGGCTGCTGAGTGCTTACGGCCCACGGCTTGTCACAAAGATTATAGATGGACTCGAGGGAGTTGATGCTCGGGACGCCGCCGTACTGCAGACCGATGATCAGGTTGCGAAAATCTTCGTTCTGGGTCATGCTGAAGGCGTGTTGGCGAATGAGGACAAAGTCTGGCTTAAAGGATCTGGAGAGTTGTGGGAGAGACCTGATCAATTCTGACCAACTGTTCATGTGGATGAGTCAGGCTGAGCCTCAGTAGGCGCATCAAGTTCCATCAAAACTTCAAAATTCATGTGCGTTTTTTTATTTATTTATATTTTGTTGTGCGTGTTGCTGTGTCTCACCTGACCACCTTGGTGCCATTTCTGAGCACTTGCATGTTCACACTGCAGACTCCGTTGGCGTGAGCAACGACGTTGATCTCATTGAATTCAGCCTAAATTCACAAAAGCAGTCGGTTATCTGACGACAGAGGATTTAATCCTTTTCGTTTTACAACCAGAGCTTGAAATGGAAACGACAGGCTTCTTGAAACTTACCTGTTCCACTTTGATATCATAATCCCCGTGGACTTTCTTTCCTCTGAATAATTTTGCCCTGGGAGAAAAAAAACATTTAAGTTTTAACAAATCAGCAGGAATAACAGTTTCAGTAAACCCCATACCATGTTTGGAATAACTCTCAGCTACTACCACACTAGTGTTGTAGTACTCAAGACCGGTCTTGGATCTTGAGACCGGTCTCAAGACCACTTTTTGATGGTCTCGGTCTTGTCTCGGACATTGAGGACTCTGGATTTTATTTCAAGACCAGTCAAGACCACAACTGTGGAAATATCACTAAATTGCCAGAATATTGTCCAGTTTATTTGTTAACATCTTTGTTTTTATTGGATGCAAAATGTACTGATTCAAATCCAAGCGATAACGTGACTCAATGCTAAATGTGTGCTTTTGTTTCCGCTGTCACGCCCATCCACTTTCATTCACATGTGGTTCTGTACCAACAGAACAATACAGACAACAGAATGTAATGTCGCAACCAGGAGTGAAAGTAAGCCGCTACAGATAATCTGTGAAAAGAATGAGCTCCAAGACTTGAGGTCTTGGTCTCGACTTGGTCTCGGACCCCAAAAGTCTTGGTCCTGTCTCGGTCTTGGTACACTCTGGCCTTAGTCTTAACTTGGTCCCGGGTTAGGTGGTCTTGACTACAACACTATACCACACACATTTTAGCTCAAGATCTGTAAGATTGCCCCAGTTAGAGCAACTCTTGTGTTGGCTAAGATTTGTTAGTTGTGGCAGCCATCTTGAACTAAATTAACTCTAAATGTTAATCACTTCTAGATGTAAAACCAGTGAGTAGTTTCAGAGTTTTATTACAATCTGTCCAGTTCTTCCCGAGATATTTTGCTAACAGATAAATTGATGCTAAAAGTAATTGCCAAAGTTTCCGGCATGGATCTTACACGATGTGTAGCGCTTGGTAAATGTGACTCAGAGAATTCTCAGCTACTACCTCATCAACCTTTAGCTTCATATTTGTCAAACTATTTGATTTATGGTCATTTTTGTCTTTCTAAAGCTGAGGTAGCTGTGGCAGCCATCTTGAATTGAGTAGATTTAGTTATTCAGTCATAGCTGTACGTACATCCAATGATTACTTTCTGAATTTTTTTTTAAATCTGTCCAGCATTTTAAAATATGTTTTGCTAACAAAATAGACAAACTTAACTCATATGTCAAACTTTTAAACAAATCTTGTGGCATCTAGGGATGCACAATATTATCGGCACGGTATCGGCCAATATTAGCGATAAAGTTAAATATCGGACATCGGCCATTCCATCAAAATAACTCACAGATAAAAGGCTTCTGTTTTAAGTTCATTTTTAATTTAAGAAACTGTCAAGTATATATATTAATGCACTACTACTATGCGCTTTTCACTTGTTGCTTGTGAACAGATTGAGATGAGATTTGTGAAAATTTACAAATTTGCACTGTTCGAGTGTTGTCATTGTGTTAGAGAGAGTAAATGTCATGAATAAATTTAACATTAAACATAATCCAAGTGGAAGTGTTGCATCATTTTCAGCCCCTTTTTGTCATCTGTATTTGGTATCAGACCAAACTGACAAGGACCATGCAGAATAATGTAGTATTTTAATTCCACAGCAGAGAAAGCTATGTAGTCTCTGTAAGTAGGTCTAGAGAAAAAAATATCGGTATTAGTATTGTTTATCGCCCAAATAAGTTTTAACATATTGGCATATCAGATATCAGCCAAAAGTCCAATATCGTGCATCCCTAGTGGCATCTGTCAGCTCCTACAGTATGAGCTGGGGATGAGTCTCAGCTACTACCACAACAAATACTGCTCAGTACCTGCAAAACTTACAGAATTATAGTATTTTTTTGTGTTGGCTAAGATTGATTAGTTGTGACAGACATCTTAAATTTGATTGACAATTTCATAATAATTTGTTCACTGGTTCACGGGATATTTTGCTAACAGACAAACACGCACAGGCAAAACATTATCATTATTGCCTATTGCTTTTCAGCAGCAGGCGATAATAATGTGGATTTTGAGATGAGGATTTTTAAAAATAAATGATGATGTTGACTGAGCAGAGGAGAGAAAAGCCTCCTTGTGAGCGGCACGGCGTCTCTGACGTGTCTTCCCTTCAACCTGGCTACAAGGAACGCTCTGAAACATTACACAACACTTTCAAAAGATGAGACGGTCATAGCAAGCCTTGTAGAGCGCACATACACACACACGTGTCCTCTCAGTCACCAACTGTTTCTGAGGCTCTTAAAATAATGCAGTTTGGCAATCATGTCTGTGCTATTTTCAACACCTGGAACTTTGGAGTGAATCCTTTGTTTTCACAGTTGCAGCAACTGGTTTAGTGGTTTGGTGGAAGTGGTTCAGTCACTTGAATGTGCACCTGGTTTGTTTTAACACACAACTGAATTTTGAGAGAATGATGACCAAACATCTGCTGCGTCAGATGATCCTGCAGCGTAACTTTCAACGACACCGACAGAAAAACAACCAAGGGGCTTTCTCCATCTAGTTTCCTGGGGTTGCCATGGTGAGGGCTACATTCTGGCTCCACTCTTTAACTAACAGCACCTACTGCAGCGCAGCAGTGGTACATAATGTGCTCTGCTTCAACCAAACAAAACTGGAGAACATGCATGTTTCAGGGAGGCTGTGTTAACATATTTCCTCGACATATTGCCAAAGCATGCACTTTCTCTCAGTTTGCATCCCCTGCTGTCGCAGACCCTGCACTTGCTGATTATTAAGCCAAAAGCTTAAAGCTGAATAATGCATCCACAGGCTAATTAGAGCAGCGGGAGGAAAACAGGCATGATGATGTGCATCACAGCTCCTGTATTTAGGGAAACTCAAAAGCCCGGATGAGTCACAAAGCAAACAGAACTTTATTTTTATTTTGGGGTATTTAATTATGAACATGGAGACGTATGGGGCGGGTAAAGCTTTTTAACAATCAGTCCATGTGTTTTCAGCCAACATCAGCCACGTGTTTAAATTAATGATGCTTCATTAATACACGTGTGTGTGCGTGTGTGTGTGTCATCTAGGGGTTGATTGACTACATATTTTTTAAAGTTGAATTCAACATGATAAAAGTCGACGTCAACTAGTCGATGACGTCATAGGAACTCAAGACGCTCGGCTATACTGTATCATATTTGAAACAAAATATATATTTTTTTAAATCACAAAAAAGTAATTTATTATTTACAAAAAAACAACAAAACATCGGGCGTATATTTATGCTCCTACTATTTATCATACTGCGAATAAGTCACAGGAAAACCAAAAAGCTACAAAAGTGAAATAAACGTGTGGATGTAAAAAATAAAGCTAAGAACAGTGGGGCAGGTGATGATGGAGTCCGCCACCGCCTGCCCCACTGTTCTTAGCCTTATTTTATTTAATCCACCACCATGGATCGGGTGAAATGGAAATGAGGGCAGCAGGGCGGACGGTGGTGGAGAACCTTACTATAATATTATAGTTATTTTAGTTATTAATGGTCGTCGGCCGCACGTGTCCGCTGATGCAGCTGCTGGGTCCAGTTAAGCCGCAGGTCTGGACTTTTTTGTACGTCTTTTAACTGGCCGGTCAGCACGGTTGGTGGTGATCCAAATTGGATCGTCAGCCGCGCGCATCCGCTGATGCAATCAAAAGCCAGACACCAACACGCCCACCCATCCAGCACATTTTTTTGGCTTGGGCCGGGCACGACCGTGTTAGAAATGACAGCTTTACCGCCCCGCTGTTTTTAGTTTTATTTTATTTAATCCACCACGTGGATTGGGTGGAATAGGGCTGGGAACAGCGGGGCAGGCGGTGGTGACTGTGACTTGTTGACGTGAAATATAAAAACTCGCAAGATGTCCTAGAATCGACTAGTCGAAGTGTGGGGGAGGGGACGAGATGGGGTAGAGGTAGGGCAGCCAACTCGGGACCCAAAAGTCCCAGGTTCGATCGTGGTGCCTCTGAGCAAGACACCCTATCCCTAACTGCACCCCGGGTGCCCCCAACAGCCGCCCACTGCACCACCTGGTGGTGGATGGGTTAAATGCAGAGAGGCCATTTCGCCATTGTATGGGAACATACAATGATGACAACACATAACACATTATTATTATTATTATTATTATTATTATTATTATTATTATTATTATTATTATTATTATTATTATTATTATTATTATTATCATTATTATTATTATTATCACCTCTCAACAATCTGGTTCTCCAGTTTAACCAGAACCAGGGAAACACAGTGTGGATGCTGAGGGCTGAATGACTGAAGAGATCTGCTGAACAAGCTAAAGACATTACAAGCTGTTAAAGCTAAAAGAAGCAGAACATTAGCTAAAAGCTAAAGTCACAAACACTGGCTTAAAGCTAAGTTTTAAAATGCTGTGTAAAAGGTGAAAGTGGCAAAACGATGCCAACAGTAAAAGCTAAAAGTAACAAAAGGCTTGCTAACAGTGACAAAGGGCTAGCTGGAAGCTAAATGTGGCATAAGTCCAGAGGTGATCGGGCTTTTGCGGCTGCTGCTCCAAACTTGTGGAACAGTTTACCTGATCATATAAAGACCGTGGAGACTGTTGAGACTTTTATTTAATCTTTGTTCAAGACTCGTCTGTTTTCCCTGGAGTTTGATCCATGCAGAGTCTGAGAACAAGTTAGAGCTGATTTTTCTTGTAGTTGTGTTTTATTGTTAATTTTCTTATGTTTTCTGAGTAGCACAAGATGTATTTTTCTCTCTTTTTACTTTGATTTAATTGTAAAGCATATTGATCATCTTTTGTTGTTTTTATACGCTATAGAAATAAATTGACATTGATGCTGACACAAGGAGACAAAGTAATTGCAAGTACGTTGCAGTCGGTTCCAAAGAGAACAATGTGAGATGTAAATGTATTTAAATGAGAACTTTTTTGCATGTAAAGGGAAATATTTCAAAAAGTCTAAAAGGTAAAAAACAAAAGTCACAGCCAGAATGTCCTGAAGGAGCTGAATGTTTTGACACTTGGTTACAATATCGCAAAGTATGCAAAAGTAGTAACATGTTAAAAAAGATACAGAAGAAAAAAGAATAAAGAGAAACAGGATCGGTATAGTGTGAAGGCTGAATCAGGATTCACACAACAAACAAACAGAAAATAAGAAAAAAAAAACACTTTAGTTGTATGTTTAGCTGTGCTTTTTGTGTACTCCTCTGTCCTTGAATCAGTATTTATTTGGAGGGCACGATGAGTTCTGCTGCTCATTTGGAAAGTGGAATAAAAACAAGAACATGTTCATTTTGAAGGAATCAACAGGGGTGCCTCATTAAAAACAGAAGGGACACCAAACATTATAATTAACATTTTCTAGTTTCTTATTTAAAAAGGACACAAACATAGTGACAGTTTTGCACCCATGTTGCTGGGAAAAGTTTTTTAATTATTATTTTCTTCAGCAGTTTTGCCTGAGAGCTCTGCAGGTGGGACCCTGCGCTGAACTTAAAGTGTAATTACTTCGCCTGCATTTGCTCTCACATGTGGGTAATGTTTGCAGATAAAGTTCCCAGCACAAGGCGTTTTATTCCCCAGTTCTTCATATAAAACAGTGAATTTCGTGATTAGCAACACTGAGTAATAAAACTCCTTGTTACTGTGTCTTTATATTCAATTTAAGCCATGGAAATAGACTAAGGAGGCAGTGCATCTGATCCATTAGGTTGATAAGAGTTGCTATGTAACTCCTGTTCCTCTCGTCATGAATAATTTATCAAACAGCATTTCTGGGACAAAACAGTCCTGTCTGGATGACGCGTTTGTAAATCACTGACTGGAGGACAGAACGTGTCTGTCTGAGCTGTGGCATCTGTTCTGCGCAGCTTATTTTTCTACAAAATCACAGCTCCTTAACAGAAACTGTGTAGGTATTTTCATGGCTCTCTGCCTAAAGACAAAGGTGGAAGATAATGTTTTGTTCATGTGTTTGTGTCTGTTAGCAAAACAGCTCGTAAACTACTGGATGGATTTTGAGGAAACGTTCAGAAGGTTTGATAACGCTACACTTTATTTTTCTGAGGCTGCACAGCTGCAGAAAGAAAAGCTTTGCAGAGAGTGGTGAAGGCTGCACAGAAAGAGTCAGTCTCCCCATCTTCACAGACATCTACACCTCCAGATGCAGGAAGAGGGCCACCTGCATCATGAAGGACCCCACTCACCCAGCACACACACTTTTTGCCCCGCTCCCCTCAGGAAGGAGGTTGAGGAGCATTAAGTGTAGAACCACTAGACTGAGGAACAGCTTCTACCCTGAGGCTGTTAGACTCATGAATCTCTAACCAGAATAATCACTGTGAAAAAAAATCACTGTAATACCAGTTTGATTGGTGATATGTGCTGCTGATTATCCATGCTGCTGATTATTTCATGCTGCTGTGTTCATTCGTACTCATCTGCTCACACAGACTCATGTTCGTGCTGCTGTTGTTCGGCGTATTGTTTCTGTGCTATTCGTTACTGGATCAAATTTCTTAGTTTATATATTAGTTCCTTATTTACAGTTTATTTTACAATTCATATTTTTGCTATTGTTGGATGTAACTGGGATCCTGTGTACACAATTTTGTTCCGCCTCATGTACCACATGCGATGGCCATGACAATAAAGACTTGAACTTATTAACCTGCACATAATCAAGTTCAGTATAGCTCAGTTTTACAGATGTCGACTTATTCAATGTGGTAGTAGCTGAGAGTCATCTGCAACACGGAGCCTGAAACGTTGCAACATCACGTGAGATTGCACATCCATCACGTTAAAAGAATCGGTCCAGATTTCAGAACTGCATGGATGATTTTTCATGAATTAAAAAGGTTTATTTTCCAGACTGGACTGACTCTGTTTCTAAAAGCAATACTTCTGTCTAAATCTGTGCCAGCATGCAAACAACCGCTACTTTATTTTTTAAAATTTGATAAAATAGTACCTAACTATAATCGTCAAGCGATATAAAAGAGTTTTGAATTGAGACTAAATTTAGTGTCGTCAACACAAAATCCACCAGAAACTGTCAAACATGTTCCATCAAACTTCAATCACTTTTGATTAGCCTGCTTTGATTTAATTAACAGATGTTTGGGACGGCTGAGCCTTCTGCCCGATGCAACGAGTCTGGAAAAACTCGCTCTGGATATTCTCTGGAGGTCTCATCACTCTGGCTTTGATTTTAGGCCGTGAAGGGGAGGGATGTCTGAGCTGTGCCTGCGCTTAAATAACGCCTCAGACTCGAGACGTGCAGCATCACAGAGAAAAGACGCTTCCAGTCATTTTCTGTTTCTGAGGCTTATCAACAGCAGAATATTTTAGTATAGTTTTAGTCCATCCATTGAATACAGAGCACGTTCTGTGTAGAAACAACCAAAAGAAAACATAAAGCCCCCACCCCCCCACCGCTCAGTGATACTGAGCTGTCATAAAAAATAGATGCAGCACTCAGACAGAGGAAGCCTTTTGAATTAATTCTTTTAGCACACCTTCCAAATGACTATATGCAGATGTACACAAAACGAGGAGAGGATAGAAACACCCCAAAATTAATAGATTATTTGGCAAATATGAGGAGTTAACTTTATATCAGATTCTGACAGGCAAGAGATGAAACACCTGGAGAGCTGGTGCAAAGAGAACAACCTTCACATCAATGTGAAGAAGACAAAGGAGATGATTGTGGACTTCAGAAGGAACAAAAACATCTACACCCCCCTGAACATAAGAGGGTCTGCGGTGGAAGTGGTCTCCAGCTACAAGTACTTGGGTGTACACATGAATGACAACCTCAGCTGGAGCAACAACACCACCAGCCTGATCAAGAAAGTTCATCAGAGACTCTACTTCTTCAGACGGCTGAGACGAGCTGGTCTGGGAAGCTCAGTCCTCACCTCCTTCTACAGGTGTGCAGTGGAGAGCATCCTGTGCTCGAGCATCAATGTGTGGCATGGAGGCTGCACAGCTGCAGAAAGAAAAGCTTTGCAGAGAGTGGTGAAGGCTGCACAGAAGACTGTTGGAATCAGTCTCCCCACCATCACAGACATCTATACCTCCAGATGCAGGAAGAGGGCCACCTGCATCATGAAGGACCCCACTCACCCAGCACACACACTTTTTGCCCCACTCCCCTCAGGAAGGAGGTTGAGGAGCATTAAGTGTAGAACCACTAGACTGAGGAACAGCTTCTACCCTGAGGCTGTTAGACTCATGAATCTCCAACCAGAATAATCACTGTGAAAAACCATATCATGCTGCTGCTGATCTGTTTCATGTTGCTGCTGATCTGTTTCAATGTTGATGTGTTCATGCGTGCACATCTGCTCACAGACTCATGTTCATGTTTGTGGTGATGTTCAATGTTTTATGTTATGAGTGCTTAGTGTATATTTAGTTGATGTTTTTCTTAGTTCATATCTTAGATGTTATTACTGTTTTTCTTATACATTTTATTGTTGGATGTAACTGGGACCCCGTGTACATAATTTCGCTCCACCACATGTATCACATGAGGTGCGAATGACAATAAAGAAACTCTGACTCTGATACTGAGAAAATAATCCCTCAGAGAATGGTTGTTGATGGTCTAACAATATATATTGTGTATTTGTCTCACATCTGGAAAACATTATCCAGATGTACTCCTCAGCCCTTCACAAACAAGTTCCTTTCTACGTAAAATTATTGAAGAATAAAAAGATGAGAGTTTGCTCTGAATTTATTAACAAATACCTAAGATGTTATTGTATTTGTGCTCAGTAAGGCGCACAAAGCACACGTGGCCTTAGCACTGTGCTTGCTATGATACACAACATTAATTATGATAGGGCATACTGTGCATCTACACAGCAAGATGCCAAATCTAAACACGTGTTCCCTGGATAGAAAGTTATTTTTTAAAACCCTGTTTTATTGTTTTTATTGTATTGAAATCCTTCCTTAAGTATAAATCAAGGTAATTCTCCATCCCTCCAAACATTTAAAGAAAAGGATGAAAATCTGTGTCTGATTTTGCTTTCAATTTATACAAATGATCACATTTGAGGAAAAAAAACAAAACTTACCTAAAGGTTAATCGTGTTAGCATTTTCTGCCATTTGAAAGAAGCCTCTATGCAACAAAATTTAACTCTGGATTAATAATTTACAATGGTTTCTCACCAGAGATTGCAGACAAAGATGCTTTAATCTGAACACAATTCCTCAGGACAGTGTCTGCCATTATATCATCTTAAACAGCTTCAGCTCCTCACCGTAATGACATGATTGTCTTCTCGCCCAGCAGGCAGAGGAACATATAGGCAAACATTGATTTCTGTATTGTGCATGTCACGAGACATGGTATCAGTGAGCAGGGGGCGGGGGACCCCATTCACCGATGGAAGTGCACTGCAGCACTTGGACTGCTCACACTGAATTAAAACGCTTTCTGTCAGTTTCTGCACAACCTGTAGCACAGCAACCACCAAAAATCCTCATGCACCATGGTGCCGGCCGCACATTTTCATTATAAAATCAGATTATTACATGAGAAAAAGCATTATGTCAGTGCTCAATTTTGGTGCTATATCATTATTAAAATGTCGTTGTTTTAGAATGAGAATACTGCATTCCTTTAAGCAGCAGCTTAAGGAGACATGGCAGATTATTAAACCAGAAACAGGTTGATCTTGACACAGATGCATCCATAGAGTTTCTCTTATTAAGCATCACATCTAATAGAGTCAAAAGAAGAAATCTGACATCAAGAATGGACTAAAAAATGTGTTGCATTTAAGTAATCCACATTCAGCTATTTAGGAGTGTCTGGTTTATCATCTTACCACTCCTGCTGTGGTTCGTCGATCACAAGGAGAATCTTAAACTTCTTGGGTGTCGTGACTTGGGTCTGCTCCACGAGCCCCGCTGAGGCGGCTGTCTGCTTCACAACGTTGGTGATGGAGCTGAAGAAGCCCGATCCGGCTGACTGTGAAGGCTGAGGTTTTCTCTCAGCAGCAGGGGAAGCGGCTGGCGGTGCGGGCCCAGCTGTAGGGGACTTGGCGGCGGTGGAGGAAGCAGGTGGAGGAGGCTGAGCCGGATCGGGCCTCTGAAGGTCTGTCATGTAGCCATTGGGCAGGTTGGAGATGAAAGTGCTGTCCGAGAGACGACGGCGCAGATAATTCATGGCTGCAGAAGGATCGGTGAGCTCTGGGTGTGGAAAATGATCCTGCAGAGGGCTCACAGGTCTGAGCGTGAGGCTGATAGAGGCAGGGGGGGTCTCCGTGCAAACTCCTAACGTATGTATTCCCTCCCAGAGTCACAGAGCATCCTCGGAGCCCTCCCTTCCTGTCAGTGATGCTAGTCTCCCACAGCCAATCCCCTTCCTCTATGTTTTCCTCAAGCACAGCACATGATGCTCTGCCTCGCCTCTCCATCCTCCTCTCCTCCCTCTTCTAGTGGCATGCCTGACTTCCCTACCCCTCCCCCATTTTCTGCTGCCTCCGAGGCATCATCCCATTTTGAACCACAGCATGAAAAATAGAGGGGTTTCTAGTGGAAGTGCACGAGGGGATCCGAGTACTACATCCCAGCTGCTTGACGCCTTCTACTCCTGTTCAGCGGGCCTCTCAGGACACAGCCGGTCTGTTGGTAAAACACAAGCCATAAAATCTAAAATGGCTGTTTGGACTGGTGGGCAGTGTTGAACAGGAGGAAACGTCAGCAGCAGTCCCTCGAGAGCCAAATGCATGCTGCAAACACGCAGTCGACTGTTTTTATTTAGATGTATTTACACGTTTACTTAGGTATTTAGTTTTACATAAAAAAAACAGAATATTGAAGAAGAGAAGTGTGAAGAGAATGACCTCTAACAGCCTAGATGGATATTCTAAAAGAGGGGCAGGAAACAGGTCGATGGATCAATAACTTGTGGTTACTCAGAAGTCACCATCTTTAAAGGCAACAGACAACACAGGGCGATCCTGAGAGACGTAAACACAAACAACTGCCATATATGTGAAAAGTACTTCAAGGCTTTATCAGCTACTTTCATCTGAAGCACAAACCAAACCAAGCTATCATTTCTGCTCCATTTCTTTTATTGTGGTTTTGAAATTAGAAGATTAAGAAAGAATAGGTCGTGTTATGGTGCATTTAGTATAATTTTACTATATCAAGCTACTTGTACAAAAATACTGAAAAATACTGACACTTATATACAAATTATGACAAATTCAGTGTAGTATTATCAAGCTGCTATTACAAATAAACAGCTAGGTGTTTTATTTATAGATGGAATAAATGTTAGGACTTATCACATCTGTGAGCTTCTTTTGTACTTTGCAATGATTCATTTTAAAGATAAATCTAATATTGCTCAATGTTTTGATGAAAATTCCAACATTCATTTATATTTTACAAAGACAGAGCTCGTTCCTTTGAGATTGGACACGAATGTGTTAATATCAACCCTATATGAGGCACCGTACGGTCAGCTGGGTGAAGGTGTGGCTGGCCATCCAGACAAGTGTCATTTTTATTTTAAATGTTTTGCATGTAATGAACCAACAGGATAAACTTGTAAAAATGTGTCGAAATTTGAATTTTGTTTGTATTACAGAGACACCAGCTGGTATTTCTGTGTAGTGCACAGTAAAATCAACGAGCGCTACAACTTTGCACATCTTTTGAGTCAAGGCAATGACTATCGTTTACTTTTCCTGAAAGTTTTTATTCAAGGTAGATTTATTCTTTACCTCTTTTTTTTTTATCATCAAAGTGATTTGCCACATTTTTGTAAATGTCAATTCAATATCTCACAATATTTTGATTTTAACATGCATGTGCAAATCTGCTCTTTCTGATTTTCCTCTCAGTAACTTTCCTTAAACGTGTTAAAAAATGTTTAGTTTTCTGTTGAGTTTGGAGAAAGACCTCTCTTTTTGGATGGAAGTGTCTAACAGGCTAACCAACTACAAGCCCAGAGAGATCTTGTTCTTTTGGTTGTTCACGCTGTCCTCACTCCAACTACCTCCATGTTCTCTCCAACTGATTCCAATTATCTCCACCTCCGCCTTCTATCTTTTTCCTGGCAGCTGCATTTCTAACATCCTTCTACCAGTATACCCACTGTCCCTCCTCTGGACATGTCCAAACCATCTCAGTCTGGCCTCTCTAACGTTATCTCCCAGTTGTTCAACCTGTGCTGTACCTCTGAAGATCGATCCATCCATTATCTTTACCCGCTTATTCCATTTTGGGTCACGGGGGTCGCCGGTGCCCATGTCCATTAATCACTGTGTGAGGGGCGGGGTACACCCTGGACAGGTCTCCAGTCCATCACAGGGCCAGAGACAACCGAGACAAACAACCATTCACTCTCTCACTCACACCTAGGGACAATTTAGAGTTACCAATCAGCCTAACATGCATGTTTTTGGTCTGTGGGAGGAAACCAGAGCACCCGGAGAAAACCCACGCATGTACGGAGAGAACATGCAAACTCCACCCAGAAAGGCTCTCCATCTCCGGACTGGGATTTGAACTGGGGCAACCTGCTCGCTGAGAGGAAGCAGCTCTAACAACTGCACCACCGTGCTGCCCATATCTCTGAAGATCTCCTTCCTAATCTTATCCATCCTTCTCCTAAGTTTTAAAACTAGGCTTAAGACTTTCCTTTTTTGCTAAATCCTATAGTTAGGGTCGGCTTGGGTTTCCTGAGCTGTCCCTTAGTTATGCTGCTATAGGCTTAGACTGCTGGAGGACAAACTGACCACACTTTTCCCTCTGCTACTGTCTTTACTTACTCTGCTCAACCTGTTTTGTATTTGTAATTATTTTTTCTATCATTAATGTGTTTTTTTTTTTGTCATTCAGGTTCACCTGGACCTACCATTCTGTGTTCGTCTGTCTCTCCTTCTTGTCCTCTCAACCAGCCGGTCAAAGCAGATGGCCACTTGTCCTGAACCTGGTTCTGCTGGAGGTTTCTTCCTTTTAAAAGGGAGTTTTTCCTTTCCACTGTTGCCACTGTGCTTGCTCAGGATGGGAGACTGCAACGAAGCGAAGATTCAACTTGTCTGCTGGATTCCTTAGATAGAGAACTTTACTAATTGACTTTTATGTATGTGAATGTTCCTGTCAAGTGTCCTGAGACTACTTTGGTGTGATTTAGCGCTATATAAATAAACTGAATTGAAATGAATTGAGAACCTCAACGTCTTCATGTCTGCCACTTCCAGTTCTGTATCCTGTCTTTTTGTCAGTGCTACTCTCCAAGTTCTCTTCCACCTGTTCCCCGTTCTCACCACAAATCACAATGTCATCTGCAAACATCATAGTCCACCTCTTGATGCTTCCACAACGCTCCCAGTGACTCATCAACTTTATTTCCCTGTAGCTGTCACAACTCTGCATCGCCCTCCTTCCTAAAAGCTGGCACCGGCGCACGTCTCCATTCCTCAGGCATCTTTTCAGAAATAATGTCGAATAATCGAGTGCCTCCAATGGTAGCACAAAGGGATCAATATTTGTTTTCCCCTTCCATCACTTGTACGTGTTCATCATTTGCATTTGGCTAAAACTAGAATATATGGTGATTATACATTTAAATGTATGTCAGAGGGACCAAAGTGAGAAAAGTGGCCCAGAGCTGCTAATTGCTGAACCTTGAATAATAAATAACCAACTTTAGCCCACATGTTTGTAGGTGCACAGTCACTGAGTTAGGAGGACCGTGTTTACATGGAATAAAAGCAGCTTCGTGTTGTTTTTATGTGTATCCGGTTGGCTCGCCTGGTCTGGCCGCTAGGGCTGCTCGGCTCCTCTTTGTTTGATGCCTCCTCCTGGTGAGAAACCTCAGAACAAACTAACTGAGCCAACGACATCGTTGATGTAACCCCATTTATTTTCGAACAAGTAAGTACAACTTACTGTGTGTGGATGTTTAAAGTTCAGCTAAGTGATCAAACCAGTATTTGGCCTGACTGCCGGGCGAACCACTTTCTTTTAATCGAAGAAGTTTGAGAAATGTTGTGTACTCACCGAGCTAAAGTTAGCCTTTTACTTGCTAGATGTACTGACCTAAACGTATACAGCCATTAGTTTTAACGACTATAACTGCGTTGTAGTGTACCGCTACTATACATTTAAAGTACAGCTACTATATATGTAGGTGAAACTACTAGCTTGAGCAAGCTAACGTTTTTAGCTGCTAGCTCAGTTAGTTAGCAGCGCTGCTAGCCCGTGTTCGTCGTAGTAAGGTGTCACTCAATATCCCTCTCGTTTTCTATGTATTTATTACTGTTTAAGGACCATTAATGCAAGCAAAATTCACGTTATTATTTTTATTTTTGTTCGCTAACTTGTCTTAACTGTGTCCTCTTTAAGATACCTGGTTGTTGTCTTTGGCGGTGTAGCATGCTAACGTCCATGTTAGCAACTAGCCTGTGAACGCTAAGCATGGACCTGTTGAACTCTCAGTTCCTGGACAAGATGAACAATAACATTGGGAGACTGCACTACGACGGTCAGTTTACAGACACATTTTCTCTGTCCTTTGCTTGTTGCTTGAGTATAGTTTACAAAACATTGCATTTCTCAATGATAATGTTTCTGGTTTGGTTAATCTCAGTGGTCTGGTGATGACACTTTTTATTTTATAGCTTCAAGTTTAACACAAATTTTGGCTTCAGATGTTTATTAACTGTCAGGTTCTTGCACATGACTCACCCTACAACCTGTTCTGCATCTAATCTCTCATAGCCTGACTTTAAATTCAGCAAAATTACAGCTAAAAGTCTTAAATGTTGCACTTTTTTCCTTCTAAGTACATAAAACCAAGTTTTATATTTGATGCATTCACATGCCTCACAGCAAGAAGGTCCTGGGTTCAATCCCCGGTTGGACCTGGGGTCTTTCTGTGTGGAGTTTGCATGTTCTTCTCGTGCTTGCGTGGGTTTTCTCCCACTGAACAAAAACATTTGCCTGTTTAAGTAAAGGTTAATAAATAAATAAATTCTGTTTATTGATCGTTTATTTACATCACACTAGATAATACACTAAAGGTGTTACATTTTAAACCATGTGTGCACACTCTAAAACGTTATTTTCTGTAAAGTTTTTTTTTTTTTACTACATCATTCAGTCTTCAAAATGTCAAGGCCTCTTTGTAGCAGAGAATTAATTGGTCTTATAGAGTCAAAATAATTTTGCCAAAGAAGTACACTGCATAAATTACATAAATTATTTGGATAATTTGAGGTGATTTAAGTTTCTGTATTGTTTCTCAGTCTAGGTTTTGCCCAGAAGTTGATTCCCTTCTTGAATGCTGAACAAAATATGTCTGCACTGGAAATATTAAGTATTTAATCTAATGCATTTAGTTGCTTTTTCACTATAAAATGTGCCTAAATGGCCTTGCACCCTCTTATCTCTCTGAACTACTTGAACCATATGTTCCTTCTCGGGTGCTGAGATCAGCTGATCAGCTGCTTTTGGTTGTACCAAAAACCAGGTTGAAGCTCAGAGGAGATCAGGCTTTTTCAGTCATGGGCCCTAAACTTTGGAACGATCTGCCCCCAACGTTAGACAGGCCACTTCACTTCCTGTTTTTAAATCTCGTTGTTTTCACTGACTTTTAATAGTGTGATGTGATTTAATATTTTATTGTTGTGTTATGTTTTTCTTTTGACGCTTTTACCGGTAATTAAATTTTTTGTTTTTCATTAAATTACTGCCATTTTATTTATTCATCTTTATTTAACGAGGCAAATCCTATTGAGATCACAGATCTCTTTTATTGCAAGGGAGGCCTGGGCCTGAAGGCAGTCTAACATGCATGTTTTTGGTCTGTGGGAGGAATCCGGAGTACCCGGAGAAAACCCACGCAAGCACGAGAAGAGCATGCAAACTCCACACAGAAAGACCCCAGGTCCAACCAGGGATTGAACCCAGGACCTTCTTGCTGTGAGGCAACAGTGCTAACCACTGAGCCATCGTGCTGCCATTGATTTTTTTTTAGTTAAGCATTATGGTAACAGCTGCCGTTTTTAAATGTGCTTTATAAATAAATTTGACTTGACTATAATAACTTTGGGTGACATGGCCCTCAGCCATTTTTTTACTTGTTTCTTTTCAATAGTTGCTTTATTTGCATTATTGACTTAACATTAGTTATATTTATGGCGTCCTTATTTATTTTTCTTGTGTGCATCAGACTGAAATAACTAGTGTTTTTTTATACAAACAATCTTATTAGAAACCCGTTAGTCATACGTGAAACACTTTGACTTCTGTTAAAGCTTCTGAAAAGTGGAGTTTATATCAAACAATTTGAAATGCAGTAAGATACTCAAATGAGTAATTATTATTAGAGGCAATTGTCCCTGTTCTCATTACTTATGGTCCCTGAATTAAAAAAAAATCTTAATTAAAACAAAAATTTCACTTCCTACTCTGGGTGGGCTGAAAAAAATGTTTTCTTGTAGCAGCATTAGATTGTCAGTTTCCATTTGTTTAGTTTTACACAATATGCCTCGATTTGGCACGAGGATTAAAGGTATCTTGTCTGCTGTGCTGTTCATATTAGTTATATGCATAACTATAACTATGTGTCTTGATTGAACATATTTCCTCTTTGCTTCAAATAGACTATATTAATCACCAACCAGAGCAAATTCAATAATGCAGAGCTGTTTGAAAATACTTTACATACCAGTATGTGGTAAAATCTTACACGTGCAATTGTTAAACAGTCTAGTAGTTAACTGTATTATTGTTATACTGATACTATGGCCCTCTAGCTGCAATGTGCTGATGGTTAATTTAATTAAAATTCAATCCACTGCGGGTCCTCTCCAGATGAGTCCAGGATCCTGTACCCACCGACTGCTGTGTCCACCATAATAACCGGGCCTCCTTCTCACTGTCCAAACAAACGGAAGTATGGAGAAGAACAAATGGAGGACAGAATCAACTGTGATGAAGACCACGTGACTAAAATGAGCCGACTGTTCGCCACTCAGTTGTAAGTGCATTTATGAAAGCCTCTGAACTACTTTGTTTTTTCCATGTAACCCGTCTCTGACATGTTAGTTTAACTTGGAGTGCGAGTTTAAAGAGTCTAAACACGCCCGACTTGAGCTACACAGTTTTGATGGCATCTTTTCACCTTGATGATTTAGAGAGCTCCACGGGAAATTCGTCCTCCTGGCTAGTACTTCATGTACAACCCTCCCTGCAGGCAGGTTTAGTATTCGTGGTGTGTTCAAATGCTACTTTTTGCCAAGCAGCTAGCACCATAAGGAGACACAGCAGGGATCCTCGCCTTCGCTGCTAATTCTTGACTTCGGTTTCATGTACATAATGATTTTTTAGGAATGGAAACATTTGCAAATCTTATCTAACGGAGTTTGACGTGCTCACCATCTGTTTGTGGTCTCAGCTGGCTCTTCGTGAACGTCTGTGACGAAACATCTCAGTTTTGATGGTACAGATATTTCCGGAGATGATTAAAGTTTTAGTTCTCCGTTTTCAGCAGGTTTCTGTTTTTGTTGCTTCACTTTGAGTTTTGATTTTATACTTTTTTCCTGCTGACGCATTATGAACGAACATTTGTAATCATGTTACAACTGGAATGCCAACGAGCATCATTTTATTGTTACCTTTTTATTACGATGTAGCTAGCATAACGTTATTAAAGTGTCAGTCCTTGAGTTTTAAAATGTCTCGGCTTTGACAAATATACATGAAATGAAATTAGTAAATGAGTAAATTAAAAGCAAACAGATCACCAGAAGACATGTTGTTTAGCTCAAAAATCACAAATGAATAAAACCTACAGTCTTTTAATCCTCAAACTTTTATGTCAACATAATTTGGTATACTTAGGGGGACAAGTCAAAATTAAAATATTAAGACTGGTCTGTCAAATTGTCTCACATTACTAAAAACGAGTTTTTTAAATGGAGCCCAACCGATATGGAAATTCTGGCTATCGTTGATACCAATACTGGGAGGGGAAGCCGATCGCCAATAATTGATGTAATGACTGAAAATATTTTAGCTTTGGTCACCCCCAAGGATCTAAGTAAACCATGAGTGGAGCGGGACTTGTTTACTTAGCGCAGCTGTTAGCAACCGTGAAGCTAAGCTAATCAGATCCACGCTATACCTAGTCCCACAGTAGGTTTACAAGTGGTGCACTGGTCATAAAACAGTCTTTCTAACGTGTGTTCACATGCTCTGTCCTCCACTATTCACCATAAAGTTATCAAGTGTGTTACATAAATCCATTCAACCTTTATTTATACAGGTTAATCCCATTGAGCCTCGGGGACTCATTTACAAGAGACCTGATAACAGTGGACAACGACAGCAAAAGACAATCATAAAAGGGGCATACAAATTATTTTTTTTTTTACAAATTAAAATAAAATGGCAACCAAAAGGACAGTCAAAAGGAAAAAGTAGCAAAAACCAGCTACATTATAAGGCGGTATAGACAACTAAAAACAGGAACATGTAACATTTATTATAGTTGATTTTTTATTTTACAGATCAGTTAAAATAAACGTACCATGCTCTTTTCATCAAAATACACTACACAGTTGTTCCCTGCTTTGGCTTTGCTGAAAGTGAAACTTAAAATGAACGGAAATGACTTTAAAGTAGTTTTCCTGCGCCCTCTGCTGGATAAATTGTACAATTACGACTGGTTCCAGCATTTTAGGTGTGAAAATTACACGTGTTTATATCGGCGCATAATGGGACCTTTATCACCGATACGATAAGTCCAGCCTGAAACATCGGCCATATCGATGTATCGGTCGGGCTGTAGTTTTAAAATGTCAGCTCAAAAAAATACCACACTGATGATTCAGACTCTTCTGAGGAAGCAGAAATGTTCATTGTGGATGCTTCACTTCAGTACTTAAATACATTTTTATTTAAATAAAACAGGATGATGATCTTTCTACAAGTCAACCATAAAATGTAGCCGAGGTGGCTGAAGGCTGGTTTTTATCAGGACATGTGTAAATACACAGCGTTTATTTAAAAACAAAACATGATTAAAACATTGGAATACAATCATCTCAAAACTCCAAATCATAAAATAATCAGTTCATATCATTAAACGGGCTACTTGAGGTCTGACAGGTGTTTTTTTCCTCGCTGCGTTTCAGTGATTAATAGAATGAGAATGGTCTGACAAACTCTGGAAGAGAAAATCCTCTGATGTGATGCTCTGAATGAAACAAACGTCTTCCTGAATGAGACCGTACAGTCTCCTCGGGCAGCTCTGTTTAAAAATAATTTAACATGCACAAAATCAGCTCGATGAGAAGGAGCCAAACCACATCTGGGCTTTAAATTAATCTGCTTCTAACTGGAGGATGTAGAAAGCTTCCAGTTTAGGTAAAGGACAAATTTGAGAAAAGTGACTTACAACAGGTTAAAAAAAACTCTTAAAGGGGCTTGCTAACGTCAACACAAGCACAAAGGTTTCTTACTAAAAAGGTGGAACTCGGCTGATCTGTTTCATATTTTTTATACATGTGAAACTTGGGAGGATAAAGTGTGTATAAAGAGGCGAAGCTGTGAGGCGACCTGTGTGTTTAACTCACATTTCCTTGTTTAAGGGCCCGTCCCTCCGCTGGAGACAACTGTAACGAGCACTGGAGCCGCAGCCCTGTGGAGCATATTATTTCTCCTAATAGTATCCATGGGAACCACCCATATGCACCCATTTCTGACTACGGCGTCAATCAACCTCTGGCTTTGACCAGAAGCACCAATGACTTTGGAGTCAGCAGAACAGCGAGGTCGGTTGTAAGCGCCACTGTGGAACGGCAGCAGGTACGTTCATTTCGACTAACTCCGTTTGTCGCGGCGGATAAACAGCTTTCTGCTGAATCATTTCAATGAATTAAAACACAATTCTTATGCGACTGCCTGAAAAGGCATGTAAAGCTTGCACTGAAGCAGAGATTGTACCTCACTGCTAGACACACACCAGTAGCTGCAATCCAAGAGAGTCTGTGTCCTTTAAGACGGGTATTAATAATATTTTCCTGTTTTTCTGTAACAAAAGTTATAATTGTCATTTTATTTCAAACACGCTCTGATTTTTTTCCAGATGGCTGAATGTGTTCTTCTTTGTTGACTCGAATAGATTTCAGTAGAGAACATTTTCTGATTCATGTTGTAAAACCAAGATACAAAATGAATGTATAAGACTGTCAGACATTACTTGCATTTATTTTCTTTATATAAAAGGTGTGCTAAGATACTAAAGTGTTATGTTGTACTACAGTTTTTGGAAAAACCACAAAAGTGTGAAAAGACACCAAAATGATATTTCCTTTAAGGCCAGCTTATTTAACTTTGTGTTTGCAATAAATCAAGTTATTTAGGCTATTTTGACATCCCTCTGTGATACAAGTGTTTTTTTCTGTTCCTGATTTAAATGTAATCTCACATTTGTAAGTTTATATGTTCAAAGTCTGAAAGTGTACTTGAGCTTTTTGAGTTTTTTCTCAAAAAGCTAAATGGCAGTCTGTGGCAATCACTGCCATCTCACTGAATCTTCAGCTCTTTACCTGAAGCTCGGTTGTTTGCCTTTTTCAGAATCGTCCCTCGGTCATCACCTGCGCCCCTGCAAGCAACCGGAATTGTAATCTCTCGCACTGCCACATGAACGGCTGCGCTCCCACCCCACCTACAGATCAGAGAAGGACCAATGGTAAGTCTTTAAATCGACAGCACGTTAACGTTGTTTAAACAAAGAGACGAGGTATATTAAGTGGCAAGTAAAACTCTGGAAGCTGATGTGTTCAAGCAGGACAAACGGGGAAGGGCAAGGATAAAAATGCTTTACATAAAGTCCAACAATGTTCAGTGGGGTCATGTGGACGGTTTCTGTTTTTTGCTGAGACATTTCGTCCTTCGTCCAAAGGACTTCTTCGATCTGAGGAGCCAGTTGAGCATGAACTTTGGTGTTTTGAACCACTTTGGCATGACTGTCTCAGAGGAGTTGATGGGGGAGAGGGCGGGCTCCGGAGGCCATCTTAGCACCAGCAAACTGTTTTTTTTCCACTTTGGATTATGCTGTTTGTGGGAATCAGTTTTGTTTGTTGGTGGCTCCTCAGATCGAAGAAGTCCTTTGGACGAAGGACGAAACGTGTTGGCTAAAAAAAAAGAAAAGAAACCGTCCAGATGACCTGACTGAACCTTGCTGGATTTTATACCTGGATTATTGCGCATGAACTTTGGCGCTCTACACAAAACTTCCAGTGATGGAAACCTGCAGATGTTGGTGACAAATAAAACGTGGTCTTTTTCTTAATTTTCACCTGTAATGCAGGGAACTATTTGAGACAAAGTGGGTTTATTATAACGTTTACAGAATCCAAATAATTTGTTAAAATTAAAATAAAAATTGTTAAGCTGCTGTCAGCCTTTAACAAATGAACACCATTAAACTAAGGTTTCCTCAAACTTGATCCTGGAATCAGACAGTCCTCCAGATGTGTGTCTGCTCCAACTCGCATGCTTTAAATTAATTAGTTAGCTTGTCATCAGGTTTACACTAAAGCTATAGAGGCCAGACTGAGAGGGTTTGGACATGTCCAGAGGAGGGACAGTCGGTATACTGGTAGAATGATGTTAGAAATACAGCTGCCAGGAAAAAGACAGAGAGGAGATATATGGATGCAGTTAGAGAGGACAGAGTGAGATGGAGGAGGATGACTCGTTGTGGAGACCCCTGAAGAGGGAAAAGCCGAAAGAATAAGCTTGTCATCATGTTCTGCTGAAGTCTGTTCATTATGCTTCAGGTGTGTGGAGGTGGTAAAACATCTACAACTTTATAAAAAGCTATCAAAGTGCTGTTTGATGATAACTACTGTATATTTTAACCTTGTCCTCCTGCTTGTGTTGTTGTAGCTAACGCCGTATGTGACCCCGTGATTGAGGAGCACTTTCGTCGCAGCCTTGGAAAGAACTACAAAGAGTCCGAGGACGTGTCCAATTCGGTGTCCATAACCGGTTCTGTGGATGACCACTTTGCTAAGGCACTGGGTGATACCTGGCGTAAGATCCAAGCCAGGGGTGGGGGGCGTCAGACTCCAGAGGCTGATTCATAAGAAGTCGGAGGAGAGCGCTCTGTCCATGTGAGCTTGGTGCACTCCCATTCTCACCTCTTGCCAAGAATCAACTTCCTTTAGCCAAGAACAGACATGCTGCTCACCTGGGCCAGGTCAACCTTTTAAAATCAGATTTGTAGCCTAAATTATGCAAATCTCGGCCACACAGGAACAACTTAATACGGTAGTTTTGGGAAAATCTACAATCATAGACTTTAGACCAATTGTCAGGATAAGCCCCCGTCCTTCACCTGAAACAGCCAAAGACATTTCCTGCCTTATCCCATCAGCACAGAAGTCATCTTTATTCAAATTAAACCTCTTAAATTTACAGTACAGTAGTCCCTCGTTTATCACGGGGGTTCCGTCCCCCCCCCTGCAAAATAGGGATAGTAGTACAAGTAGTAGTTTATTTTCGTATATATATATATATATATTATATAAATAAACCCTTCCAACGCTCTTGCAATATTCTAAACAATGTTTCTAAATTTAAACGCTCTAAAAGAGCACAGCATGTCATGATCTCCGCTCAGCCACGCCCACTAGAGTTGCATTTGGGCCTAATAAATCCGGACCCGTACTTAGTTTTTTCCCGAGCCCTACCCGAACCCAACGGATTACCGGTAAATAGTGGGCCGAACCTGAAAAAATAAACTTTTTTGTTTTTTTTAAATGAAGCTTTTACTGCTTTTGTAAGCAAATCAGTTTGACGTGATTGTTTTAAAAATGTAACGAAAGGAAGATATACGATTTATTTTTATTAACAAGTCACCAAATGGATATTAACATACAAAACAAATTGCCTAAAAAATATTTTTAGAGCGAAATTATTTAGAAAAATATAGAACAAGGCTATTTTAATTGAGATATAAAAGAAAGCCATGCAAAATTAAGCTGAGTCATGCTGTCGGCTGATGACGGAGCGATTTAACGTTCACCCGCACTACACCACAGAATAAAACTGGTGTGTGCGTGAAGAATAAATTGAAAAGGCCTACATTCTACAACAATGCTTATGCTAATACTTTAATAAACAGAATATCTATAACAAACAACAGACTACAGGTATCGATAATGGACGGATGGAGGGCTGAAAGAAAAGTAGGAAACTAATTAGTTTAAGGCTTTTCTTTCATCCCTCCATCCATCCAATAACGGGAGTTATAAAGAACAATAACAATGCTCAAAAAATATATTGATGCACAAACATGGACCAAATAAAAAGCGAATATATAAATCTGGCTCAGCTTGTGCCGGGTCATAGGCAGTCATATAATCAGCCACAGCCTCGCTTCTTCGGCTGTGAACCTGCAAAATAAAGCTGGAATTAGACCCCACTTGCCTAAATACAAAATTATAAATGTATTTAAAAATCTGTCAAGAAGTTATTGTGTTGTACTTACATGGTTTTACATGTCATGTAAGAACAGTATTGCGTCCACTGTAGCAGGTTTGAGCGCAGTCCTTCGCCGGTCTGTGCGACCAGCTCCGCTGAAAACTCGCAGAGCACAGATCTCGCCCACTTGGCCAGTTTTGGCTACACGCTTGAGTTTAGTTTCCAAAATCCCAGCAAATCTCGTTCATCGTCCATAGCACGCTTTTGAGTGATGTACAGTGTAACCTGACCATTACTGTGGCTCATCCGCTGCGTTCTCCCACTCTGCAAAAGCACTCGTTCTTCTCTGTTTGGATGGTGGTGATGTGAACGCGCTGCTCGCTTCAGCTTTTAATTTCAGGTGCAACCTCTTCCACCGCAGCTGAGAGCAGGGTGCGAACCTGAGCGTGCACCTGACACACATCAACAGGCGTCATAATTTTAAGTGCAGCTTTGTGCAAGGCGTGGATAATGACTTTGCGCTCCGGTACTTCTGCATGTCTGTGTCGTACAAACGCCTGCTATGGAGAGTGTGTGTGTGAGGACTGGCAGTGTTGCTTCAGTCTCTCATTCCAGAGGCAAACAAGGTTGATAGTGGGATATTTGTCACCCTCCAGTTCTCTCTGCGCACGGTAAAACAGTTCTAGAAATGTGTGACTAAAAAGCCCAACGTGTTGAGGGAGACGTCCATGCTCGCAGCGAGCGTCCATCTTCTCACACTGCTCGTTGTAGACGTCTTGCACTGACTTCAGTGTAATGTACACAGCGCTGAATCTGGTCTCGCCCACCTGAAGTACAATCTCTGATAACTGCGCAGCCAGACCAGATTGTTTTATATATCGCACAAGAGCTTTGGCAGCCGCGATGGTCTCACCTATTTCTGGAGCGCTTTTGGCAAGCGCGTCAGGGTCCAGCCCATGGCGCAGGACTGTGTTCATGAGATGGTCGAGGCAGTTAATCCTCCTGTATGGCTCCAAGGCTTTAACAATGTTACTTCCCTGGTCTGTCACCCATACTTTGTTATTGAGGGAGGTGAGGTTCAGACCAAGTTTGTTAACAAGTGGGCGCAATTTTTCCTTCCCTATGTTTTTGCCTGTTTTAGCGTCTTCTGCTGGAAACACGTCTGTCAGAGTTTTTCCATCTAGTTTAAAGTCACTTCTGATGAAGTGACAGGTGATTGCCATGTAACTTGTTTTCCTGTAGTCGTCTGTCCACATATCTGTGCTCATGCCAGCGTTTCCAGTTGAAAGAGCTTCTTGGAGCGTTTGTATTAAGGCATCTCTGTTTTTTCCCCTCAGCCATTTCTGTGCACATCTTGGAAATTGTGTTGCGGTGTGGCAGGACGGACTCTGCCGAGACACGACCATATGCGGCACCAACATTTATTAACTCTTGAGCCAGTCCTCGAAAACCGTCTCCACTCACTACATTAAAAGGCCCCTTTGTCTTTACAGCAAAACTGGATGCACTTTTCCGTGATGGCTTGCTTGAATCGCAGCGGCACTTTCTGCACATTAACAAATGGACTGTACTTATATAGAGCCTTTCTGTCTTATTGAGACACTCAAAGCTCTTTACAACACAATCTGTGCCTCATTTACCCATTCATACAGCACTCTACTAGATCTATACAAAGATAATTGAACAAATCATTCTAAAGAGACTAATCGGAGCTTTATCACATTCATACACTGACAGGACACACATTGGAGGCGATGAGGGGTTCAGCTTCTTGCCCAGGGACACTTTGGTATGTGACTGCTGGTGGAGTTGAACCCCCAACTCTTGCATTGGAGGACGACTGCTCTAACCACTCAGCCACAACCGCCCAAATAACATCATTGAGCTTTGATTTTCACCTTTTTTAGGACTCTGACATGTCTTCATATGTCGATTCAGTGTTGAGGCGTCAGTCTTTTTCTTGTCATAGCTGAGAGGAGCGCTGCATTTGATGCACCCCACAAATCCAACGCACGCCATTTTGTCAACTACCAGTTTAAAATGGTTTCAAACCTCAGACTTTGCATCGTGCTGGCTTTGAAGAGTGAGTTCTCCTGTTTTACTCCATTATCTCACTCGTTGTGCGTGTCAAGTGCTAGTCCTCAGAAGTGTCATAAGAGGAGCAAAGCAGGGTGGGCGGGGCTAAGCATAATTGTGCAATGCGCCGCCAGCGCTGCTCTTTTCTTATTAACTTCTGCACTCTATTTCTATTCCTCATCAGTAAACCTACTGCTTCCTGCTCCACGTAGATTTACACAATTTTATCTTGTGCGTTCTTATTTAGTTTTCTTTGTGTTGTATGATTCATAAAACCGCATCAAAGCCCAAGACCGGTCCGGCCTGCACATTAATCACATTAACATGGCCCAGCCCGGCCCTAATCCGGGTCGGTCTGTTCTGGGCCGGGTTTGGGTTAGAAATGACGGCTCTAACACCCACTTCTCCACTGCAATCGCTGGCAGGTGGCAGAGAGCGAAGATCATGACACGCTTCAGGCGGAAGCTTCTCCCTGCACCTGTGGGCTGCACACAGGTGCAGCAGGTGCTAAATATTTTAAAATAATTTATTTTAAATAGACAATCCGTGTCACTTGTGCGGCTCATCCATCACTCAGCCAATTGTGTGTCATGTCCAATCTTACTTTGAAAAACTGCGAAAGTCAAACCGTGAAGTAGCGAGGGACTACTGTACTTGAAAATGACAGCCACGTTTGATTTGCACCTTTCTGTTCCTGAGCCTTGATGTAGCAGGTCACCTGTCTCAGGACAAAGTAATGGGTGCAACAGGGGTTTAGAGATTGTGATGAGGCAAATACCCCCCCCCCCCCCCCCCCCCCAAGGCTTTCTGAAAACACAAAATGAAACTATCATGTTGACGGTGAACTGGACTTCTCCACTGTTAGTTTTAGTTTGCTACGTCCACTGTGGCTCATTACTCGCTCCACTAATACCAGTCGTAGTCTACATCTTTCCAGTAGCTGGTTTCTATTATAAGCCTTATTCTATTCTATATATTTACTCAGAATTTATTTTTATCTATAACATTTTAGAAATACTCACTGCTGGTACAGTTTTACTCTATATAAATATATATTTTGTACCTGGTTTTCACGAGTATGTTTGGGTGTTTCTGTTGGCATCGTTCTGCAAGGCGCAGCCTCTGGATAGGTTGTGTTTAACGAACTGCTGAGCTGGATGCTGTAGATGAACACATGACTGAATACAGCTAAATCTCTGCGTCTGTAGTCTGGTTTACTAGCAGTGGCTTTATTTATTCTCAACATGTTGATTGTTTCATGTTGATCTTAGGGAAATTTCTGTGAAAACACGAAGTTTGACGCGGTTCTTTTCTAACGGAGAGGATTTCTCCAGTGCTCTGTTGACAAAGAAGTAAATTTTACTTAAAAACAAACTATTTAAATGCACATGATACTTAAAAAGCCTTAGTCTGTAAGTTGGTAATAACATTCCTGCCACTGCTGCCTGGTTTTTAGCAGTCACTTCAGCTGTGCTTAACAAGTACTGTTACAGTTTTTTTATGTCACGTTGTTGCTAAAATGATCTTAATAACGGAGGCGGACTTAACCAAGTTTCAAAGTATTTTTTCAGTGCAGTTACATTTGTTAAAATTTTTATCTTTTTTGTAAAGAGGTCACTTATTTAACGATGGTCATATCCTATTGTAGTTTTTTTTTTTGTCAAAAAAGTTTGTAAAACTCACCTTTGTATTCGTGTCCTCCATTTTGGAGTTGTTACTCTGTCCCGTATGTTTTGGTTCACACATCTGAGACTATCATTGCGCCGTGCGGAATGACTGTAGGTATTTAGTTTTAGTTTAGTGCGCTCATGTAGAACGGCACCACGCAGTCTTTTTGTAAAAGCTGACTAATTCTCCTAGTTGATGAGTGCAGGAACGCACGGATGTTTGCGTCAAAGACTTTGTGCCGATCAGAAGGATT